AAAACATCCGGATTCATTTTCAAACTGATCTGATCAAAGTAAAGAGAGAAGAAGAAAAAGAAAAGCTATTGGAACTAATATAATTTCGTTTTTTTTTTTTTCTTTTTAATATATAAAGTTGTCATGCTCAGCAAACAAACCCTTGCCATTCTAATTGTTCCTCTTTCTTTCCCTCTCTATCAAATTACACGAGAGAGAGAGAGAGAGAGAGAGAGAAAGAAAGAATTCTTTTAATTTAATTAAAATGAATACATCTCTTCTCTTAACGCTTATCTAATCATATCTATTATTGATTTTCAAATATGAACCTATGTAAATTTTAGTGTTATTTTTCACGAGTTACACATTATCAACTTAGAAAATATAAACATTTTTGGTTTATAGAATATCATATATATGTATATATGTTTTTGATGTTCGTTTGTATTTGATTGAATAGAATTCAGGATGTAAATATATAAACAAAACAACGTCAATAACTTCAAACAAGTGAAATACTATTATTCATTAGAAAATGAATTCAATTTTTCTATGGATAATTTTAGCTAAACACACTCTACGAAAATGATAGAATATATTACCTAGAAAATTAAAAATTATTCATTAATGAATCAAATTTTTCAAAAGTTCTTCAATAAATAACCTCTACTAATCTTAGAATTTACATGCTTGGCAAGAGTGACTTCAATCGTTTTATTGGTGTGTTTTTTTTTTCTTTTGCTCAATTTTAGTAAAAATTTCCAATCAAACTCCTATCTATATAATCAAGAAGATATGTTATTAGTCATGGTTTAAAAACAAAAATGATCCATAACAATATTTGATGAATGAATATGTTAAAATTGTCGATATTGTGTCAATGACATCATCTTAACGGATAGAATATTGGAAAGTTTGTTCTAGATCATTAGATTACCTTCGGGTATAATAGCACGCATTTTAAGATAACTTGTTGTAAGACGAATAATTGATGCTTTATCCAATTGATCAGTAATTGCATGTGGTAATGGTAAAAGTTTTGCTAATTCAAAAAATTCAGCATTTTCTTTTTCACGTCGACTTCTTGCTGCATTCTTCGATTTTTCTTTCATGGCTTCAATTCTATTTAACAAAAAAAAAAAAAGAAGATAGTGAGAACAAGAATAATTAATCACAAATCACTAACACTAATCTGTGAAAAAGAATTGAAAATTAGAAAAGGTGTTACGATAAGTTAACGAACAATAATCTATCTATTGTTTTCTTGAACCATAGGAGGTGTCCTTTTTTTTTCTTTTTCATATATATATATATAGACTCATGCTTTTACCTGTTACATAGTAGATAGAACGTGCCGATTGTTATAAAAATGAATGAATTTATCTCGAATAACGAGAGACGACGATATGAGGAAATAAATTAGCATTGTTAACTAGAAAGTTTGAGATACTACTCGTACGCATCCATCTCATTTGACACGCGCATGTATGCACATCATTTCTATATATTATTTCAAAGTGACAATCATTCTTTTTTTTTTTTCTACTATTAATTGGCTCAATTCTATAAAAGAAATTCAATGCATATTACAGAAGGAAAAAAAAATACTTACAAGAAAAAGAAATTGTCTTCAGAGTGATTAGTAAATAAATCAACAACAACAACAACAACAACAACGGTTTATTAATCCGCTGCTGCTGCTATGCATATGAGATGTCTGTCGTTTTTCTTTCTATTGCTCTCTTTTTCTTTCTACTGAGAAGATTTGTTTTATTTATGTCCGTTATACTCGTATTCCTATTCGTTGATGCGATCAATACCCGTTCCTTTTTTTCCTTTCTCTCTCTCTCTCTCTGTCTCTTCCATATCTATGAATTGTATTATACATCGACTTGCTGTTATTCGATCAGGGTGCGAGATATTCTTTTTTTTTTTTTTTTTGATAAAGTTTCTATACTCGAATATTAAAGATTTATGTAAGTGTAAGCGATGACCTATAAGAATTTGTCAATGTAATCAGAAAATATTTTGATTTCACTAGAAGAAGTTTTTTTTCTGCAAAAAAAAAATTATGAAATTAACAAATTTTTTTAGATAATTTTATACAATAAAAAAAAAATCAATATTTAAAATGGCAAATTGACGTATGCTTCTCATATAATTGACCTTATAAATCTAATATGTTTATCATTTGAGCATGTCTAAACTTCGATAAGTTCTATATGAAGATGAATAGCTTATTTGCCTGCTATATCAATATTTTATATTATACATATAACAGTAGCATCTATAACTATTTTTTGATTGATTTGTTCAATAGACAATAATAACAACAGGCAAAAAAAAAAAAAACCACAATGTTAACTTTTCGAACATCAATCGAATGTATACCGACAATGTTGAATAAAGAAAGGAATTAAGGATGAGATTAACAAGATGAACCAACAACAGGTTGGAACATAAAAATAAAAGAAATAATAAGCTGTAGTTCAATCTCTTAACAAACGAATATAATATTCTTTTCTTTTTTTTTTTTTTTGTATCGAAATACTAATTGAATTACTTGAAATATTTCATTTTATTTTATTTTATATTCTTCTTATAGACAAAAGCAAAAAAGTATTTTGCATATATTGTTAAATCTTGTTTTTTTGACATTAACACATCAGAGAATGTTTGTCAATTGAAAAAGAAAGAGAGCTACCTGTATATAAGACAACGAAAAGTAAATATAGACATTCTATGAAAAGAGACATTGATCAATCGATCTAGTCATAGATTAAGAAAAAAGTCAATATAATTATTACAAGCAATATATGAATGAAACGCGTGTCGAACAAAATATCCGTATTCTTTTACAATAGAATTTCTATGGGTTTCAAATTTGCATGCGAATCATTTGAAAATACTTGTCGAAGAGAATATATATAGATTTAAATATTTTTATTATTGAAGAATAGACAAAAAAAGAAAGTCGATGCTAGTTGAAAATATTATTTTGAAATTTTGAAAAATTATTATCAAAGCAAAAATATGTAAAATTATTTTCGGTTATGAATTTAATAAAGTTAATTTCAGAAAGAACACTGTATTTCTGCAAATAGAACTATTGAAATCCTTCAAAGATAAACAAAGAGTATAAAATTCTCAAAATTAGAAAAGAAATATTTATGTTTAGAACAGTTTTCATGATTATTTTTCAAATGAATTGATTGTATTGTTATAGTGTATTTCATATTTTTCTTTCCGTTTAAATCTGATCATTTCTGGTCCTAATAGTTTGACAATCGTCATGCACATATATCCTGAAGAGGGAGCTACCTACCGATATATGCATCATTTCAGACAAAACAGGACATACTCAACTTTCATTTGACTTTTGATTCTTTACAAAAGTTCTTTTAGTATGGACATATATAGAAATATTGGTTCTTTCATAAACCGCATCTATGGTGAAATTTTCAACAAGATCAAATTCCAAAAAAAACTCACTCTTAATAGAGTTCCTCTCAAATTCTGAAACAAAAATTTTTGTCTTACAATCATCTAGACATTCTGAAGAAGAACTTATACTGTCGAAAATTGATTTTGAACTTCTCATTCGGTTATATAAGAGCATTTTTTCATACTGCATCACGTCGTCAACGAAAAATCACACTGATTCTGTACTAATAATTCCTTTAAACAAAGCTCTCTAGTGTTGATTTCTTTTAGGATACTTAGAATAACTTAGTATGCATGTAAAATATAAAAATTAGTTCTACGAAAGTTTATTATCTCGAGATACGCATGCTTTAATTTTGCGAAATCACATCGCTATCAAATGATTTTGCTTGTATATATGTATGACAAGAAGACATAGGATAAATGATTGTTCCGCAGGGTTCTACTGAATGTGAATGAATTTTGAGAATATTCATTTTATTTAGATAAAATATCATAGAAATCAGAAATCGGTTCCAATATTTTGTTCTATTAATATTTTTATTGAATAGAATAATCTTCAGATAATTATAAAAAACATCGATATAGACAAACAAACAATATATCGTGCAAATCTCGGTTAAAATATAGATACAAAATAGCAACATGATCTTTTTAAAAATGAATATTGACAAAAAGACTAGGTTTAAAAAAACTCACAAAAATTTTATACTTTCGTCAAATATTTAACTTATAAAATATAGCTATCAATTTCTCACGAGGGAACTATCCGACACAATACCTCGCGTTCAAGATGAGACTCCAGTCATTACATAAAGTCTGTTGAAACTAGAAGAAGCCTAGAAGAATTCTTTTCCATACACTACAATTTTGAAATTATGACTGTTACATCGGCTTTTTTACCTTTGCTCATAGACAGCTCTTGAAGTCATTAGAATTTTCCAGAAAAAAATTCAGTTAAAAAGAATGGTGTTTTCGCGAGATATCAAATTCACAAAAAAATCATGATATTCCGCCAAAAGATAAAAATTTCAGTACAACAATCATAATTTCAAAATGGCAACGTATAGGAAAAAAATTCTTCTAGTCTCAACAGATTCTGTTTAATGACTGAGATATCAACTCGGATGGTTCTCTCATCAGGATCGAGAGAAAAAATTTTAATATAATTGTTGATCACAAAAAAAAAAAGTTGCTCAATATTTAGATGCATACTTTGTCTTCTCTTCAAAACAAATGGATCTATTTTTCTGCACAGATGATTACAACATATTTTAACAACGTATTATGCATACTGACATTTTCATCTAAGACAATATTGACAATAAAAGATTTACAATTGAAAAAAAAAAAAAAAGAAGCTCATATTTTATCATGTAGTATACTGTCTACATACAAAATAAAAATAAAAACAAAACAATCATATCATTCAAAAGTCACGTTCTGTATTTAGTCTTACTTATCAAAATGTGGTTAAAAGATCAGTCATCATTAAATGATTAATTCATTAGACTACACTAAACACTTCCATTAAAATACATCTAAATATTACTTAATTAATGAATAAACACTCTGTAAATGTACCTAATGATGAAAATACTTCATTTGAAGAATGACGCTTATCTTATTAAACAGGATTTAAATACAGTTACAATCATTCGTTTCAAAATAGAAATTAACTTTCTTGAGTGTGTGATGTCTAGTTGTAACTTAAGGAGTGTTTTCTAAGAGAACGCACAAAACATTTTCGACCCGGTTGAAGAAAACAAAATAAAAATTTTTCTTGATTGGAAGCTGTCACATCCCAACACCTTCCGATCGAACCATCTCTGATGAAATCTTTTTATGAGTTCACTAATGACGAGTTTAGAGAGAAGACACTAGACGAGATCGTCTCATCTTTCTGAGCCATTTTTTCGACTTTTCTCAGTAGGAAACACCGAAAAACAAGTCAATACAATCTTTAATTTGACTTGAAAGCACGTTTTGTACCTGTGATCATCTTCCATTCATCAAAATCCTAGATTCACCATCGAAGTTAACAGAACAAAAAACAAAAATACTCAAATTATTATAACATAATAATAAAGATCGATCTTAGCAAATCATTTTAAAAAAGTATACCTGTCAAACTCATTGATAATCATATTTGTATCATCATTAGTATGCATTTGATGAATAAACGTTTGATTTTGCATAATGTTATCGTTGTTTATATCGATCATTGGTTTTTCGTGCTTCTATATATATATATATAAATGATGGATAACAAGTTTTTATGTATAACACACGATCATATTATGATTATATTGAGGTAAACAATCGTTGTCTCTTCGTTCACTGATTGTTCGTTTGACGAGTTTATCAAAATAGTTTTGTTAACGAATCACGTTCGACAAAGTTTAACGTCCGTTTTCTTTTGCCGTTTAATTTTTGTTTTACCGCCAAGAGAGAGAGAGAGAAAAAAGAAGGAAAAAAAAACAATCAATCTACTACTACTACGTCGTTCTTTTTTTCTCTCTTCTTAGGATAGAAGCAAAGAGACTAAATGACAATATTTAATCTTTTGTGAGTGGGAGGAGCACACGCACATATTAACGATGAACGTAAAAGAAAAAAAAAAAAAAAGATTTATTTTCTACCAATCATATGAAAGATAATTATGAAAAGAAAAACCAATCATTAAGTTTTACAAAAGATTTCTAATTGTTTTTAACAAAAAATAAAACAATCACTTAGATTCACTCATGAAAGATTTTATTTTATCTATAGTTCACTGTTTGATAATACCAAGTAAATATGACACCGCGTTAGTAGTACCATTATTATTATCATCATCATCATTTTATGTTCATTCTTCTTTTGTTGATTGAACATGACAAATTCTTAATGTATTTTTGCTTACCTACGAAATAGAAAGCGAGAGAGAATTATAATTTCTTTTTTTTTGTCTTCTTTAGATATTGAATGTGAAATGGGAAACTGTTTGCTAATCATTTACGAATGGCATCAATAGTATGATTTCTGCTGTGCAACGATATGTTACACAAACAGGAAGACGAAATTTAAACATCCGTTGTTTAAAAACAAAACATATTTCAGGAAAGTTAATATGGATAACACTTCTTCACACATTCATAATACCAATTGTAATTATCAATAAAATGATATAGAATTAATATAGAAGATTTTTTTTTTTTGTTATCCATATTGTTCGGTAAATTTCTAATATAAATTTATTAATCAATTATCTTTTATTGTGATTATTAAAGTTTATGATATAAAATTTGGTCTTTTATGTCTGATGTTATTTGTTATATTAAAAAATAATGTTGAAAAAAATCTTACGAAGATTATATAAGATCTTACCAATAGTTGAATGTCGTAAGATTGATATTGTATGATCTTATTAAATCATATAAATATCTTACTGTAAGATGGCTACTGTGAATCTGACATAATTATTACTATACGATTCTTGTAAAGTCTGATAATCGGTATCTTGTAAGATCTAATACGATTGTATTGAAAGTTTACATCTTCCGTGTAGTGATGCTCATCTGCTAAAAAATGAACTTCACAGATAGTATGATCAATTTGATTAAATTGTTTATTATAATTTATTTTAACGATCAAATTTCATAAAAATAATTTTTTTTGGAAGTTTTTTAATTGCATGTTTTTGTTTTCATTTAGTTTTTGTAATTTTGTAAAAAAAAATCTTCATATGCGAGTAAAGATAAAAGACTTTCTTAAGAAAACAAGATGACAGAAGCTAAAAATACACAAAAAGAAAAAATCAGGTACGCAACGTTGTAGCAAATCCTGGAAAATCATGAACGAATCGTAAAGAGTGTTCCATAATAACTGAGGATAAATTTTTAGTGGTATTTTTCATTCTTTTTCTTCACACAGAGGACTGAAATTTTTAATTCTCTAGCTATAAAAACTAGTGAAATGCATCGACAAGATTTAAAGATATATAAATTTTCGTAATCATTTTTTTGTATTTTATTTTGACAGTGAAAATAATGCAAAAAATTGAGTATGAAAATATAAATATTTCATCAGTAGTTATAGCTAGAGATCTGACCTTGATTAGATATACATATATGTGATGATAATTTCAGCTTTTTATGTCAAGAAAAGATATAATAACTATCATTAACAATTTATCCTCGGTTATTATGAAACATCCTTTATGAGTAAAATTTTCATTAAAAAAAGACAACCGATATTTCTTCTTATTGAAATAAACTAATGGCTTGAATATCATGTTGAAAACTAGAATGATACATTTATATCAAGTAATACAATTAAACGTATTCGAAAAGACCGAAACATCAGGTGACTTGATTTGGCTTGTAGGCCACTTTGTGATTTTTAGCCTGATCTACAAGCATTCCGAGCTAGAAAAAAAAATGGCCTTTTAGCAGCTCTGATATCTTGTTCTGTTGAAACTTGATTGCGAAATCTTGATTGAATAACATTGTATTGATCGACGTCATAACAGCACTTGAATGAATATTTAAAATATTGAGAACATATTCATCATTTCTCCGTTATCTTTTGTTTTCTTACCCTTCTACTTCAATCAGAGTTATTTTATTTGATTACTCCTTGCTAAAAAAAAAATCATGGAAATTCCATTGCAAATCCAGAACTAACTATAGATACTAATACAATATGCAGCCATTTCCTATGTGTGATCATTACGAAACCTGATTGAGTAGTTTCAATTATGAGAGAAAACCCATTGAGTCTTCATCATAATCTCTGAAAAATCTCATTGAGACTTCTATCATGGTATACAGTGATAAGGAAAAATATTTCTGTGTGTCTGCCATCATCTATAGTACCTAGGATCTAACTTTTTCGTTATATCGACTTCTAGAAACATTTCATTTGGAGAAATATTTTCGTAAGAAATTAGAGTTTTATCAGGGACATGGCAGAAAAAAGGTCAATCTTATAGTATAAATAGAGTGTGATAAGTTACGTCAAATAGCGTTTGAACGAACTTTTCAGCTATCAAATCTTTCGAGATAATTGGAAAAAAAAGTATGTGAAAAACGTAGCAGCGTTACATTTGATCAAAACAATATACTTGAAAATGATTTCTTCTCGGTCTTTGAATTTGCTATGAATAAATAAATTAGATGTTTTATTAGTCGATAAGGTACCCTGCTCGACTAATGTTTTCCTATTATTTCTTTCAAAGCTCAATCGACATATACGCAAAGTAATCACTTCAAAGCAAAAATTTGCAAGTCCTTTTTTTGTTTTCTGCAAATTGTTTTATAATTGTCTCAAAAATATGATAAAGTTTACATTGTTTTTTTTTGATTTTGTTCAAAACGAATAATTTCTTGAAGTAAAACAAATCAAATAAAATCATGATATTCATCTGGAATATTTAATGACGAATCAGTTCGAAAATCAATATTTTCATAAATATATTTTGATAGATTATTCATCATTGATTTAGCTTCTTCGATCGAATCATCTGAAAATAAT